CGAGCAGATCGACGACTTGCAGTGGCGCGAGTCTCGGGGCATGCGGCCTGGCCCCGTGGCCAAAGGCAACATGGGCCGAGAGCGGATCTCCAGCGTGATGGGCGGCCAGATGAATTATGACCGCGCCAAGGTCAAGTTCAGCGACGAGAAGCTGAAGGAGGTCGCCCCGAGTTCACAGCATAGCTCAATCACGCAGAAGTGAGGAGATGCCTCGTGACTGTGTCACGAGGTCACGCGGAGTCGGGAACCGGACATGCTCGGACATCAACCGGCGAGATTGACGAGTAGAGCGCTCGAGTGGGCGGGCTTTCTCGGACTGTGTCTGAGCAGTTCGCGGTTGTTTTGGCAGGCGCTCCTCGAATAGTCTCGCGCTTTACTGATGACGGGGAATAGGGCAGCCTGGTTGGTCTGAAGGTTTCTGCTGGGAGTAGTTTTTAGCCCTGCCACTGGCGCCGTGCAGTGTTTGTGCGGTTGGCGCCGTGGAGGACCAAGGTGCCTTTGGCTGGAACGCTGTTCTCTGACCCTGAGACTTGCCGAGACCAGGTCAACGCCTTCTTCCGCGAGGCATTTTTTAATGAAGGGCGGTTCGTAGAGGTCTCTCGCTGTGCTCCCATTTTGATGGCGCGACGGTTTTGTTTGAGCACCAGACTCGAACGGTAGCTCTTTGTCCAGTGCCCTGTTGCTTGGTCTCTGCCCAACTGTCTCCCCGTGCCAGTTTGACGGGCGTGGGTGGGGTCATCCTGTGTGGCTGTTTGGCCCGGGGCGTCCCTTTCCGTGCCCGCCTGGTACGCGCCGTCTACCGTGTGCCTTGTGTGCCGCGCTACTGGCAAATGCGCGTTTCATCTCTACGTTCTCTTTAGTTCCTTCTTCCTGCCCCTGCCTCTTCGGGCCCTTCGGGAGCTTTCTGCCGTTGTTGACAGCGGCGCTAATCCCCCCTCCTTCCCTCCTTCCCCGCGCGCGGGGGACTGGCGCAACAGGGGGGTGGTAGATGGGGGGCAGGTGGGCGGAGGGGGAGAGGGGATCATGATGATGAAGAAGAGGGGGGGGAGGAGGACGAGGAGGAGGGGGAATAATAATAATAATAATAATAATAGTATGACTTAATACGAATGAGAGAAATAATGCGAATACTAATATACATAATAATATCGATGGGACGAATAATACGGAAACGCAAGAATTATGCAATAGTCATAAGTGTACTATTAATGCGAATGTTAACGCGCATGTTAATTACGCCCAACATAATCATGATACTAACAGCGATATCAATCATGGAATTAACAAGAATGGTAGTAAAAATCTCACTACGATCAGCGATAATGGTAGTCGTAAGAAGCAACACATCAAGATGACGATTAATAATACCTACAGTACGCAAGACCATATTAACAAGAAGAATGCGAAACATAATGATGCGAATGCTAATGCGAATGCTAAGAGAAACAGTATTGATAGTATACATGATAATGATACTAAGGCAGAATCGTTTGACGAAAACGAGCAACATCATACTAATCATGATACATATTTACAATGACACCAATAACAACAGTAACACCATCATTAACACTCATACGTACTAATAAGAATCATACCGGCACCATTAAACTTATATAGGTAACACATAACAGTGCGATGAGGCACACACATACGAATACTAATCATAACGATACGAACCATACGAACGATACTACTAATAGTAAGAGTCATACGAAAAGGAACAATGAACTTATCCCGAACACTAGTACGGCGGATAGTAAGCATACTAATATTCAAAGACAGTGCTGGACTTGACAAAGGGGACATGAAGAACACATAATGTGGGAACGTGGCAGAAACATTTTCGTATTACTACTAAGGCGAAACATCGAACTGATACTAGTAACATTCTGTGTGATATTAAGAGCAGTGTCGGTAACACTGATGTTACCATTAAGGAGAACACTGGTAATCAGCATGTCCAGAGTATTATACGTACGACGAGGAGTATTAGTACGACTAACATCGTTATACAACCGTGAAAAACTAATGCGTAATGCGAAGTATACGGAGACTGATTATGGATACTATAGCTAGGTTTAAGAAGAAGGCTAACCAGGAAACTGCGAGGAATACTACGAGTACCATTAAGACGGGTTATCGAAATAAGATGAGGCATGGACATTCTATGAAAAGCAACCACTAAGACGACACATATAACATAACATTGAACATGCCATTGCGATATTGCATTATGTAAGTGATGACGCGAATAATTGCAATAAGCAGAAAACGCTATGACGCATACGAACGGAATAAACATACATACCAATAACAGAACGAATAGTAATACGAACAGCAAGAACATCTGAATATCACTAGTACTATTGTACTAGCATCACTAAGAGCATAATACGCGTATTCCTAGTAATAAGAGGAGGAGGGGGAGGAGGAGGAGGAGGAGGTTGAGGAGGAGGAGGAGGAGGAGCAGGAGGACGAGGAGGAGGAGGCGGAGGCG